ATTGTGATGAGTTGTACGAACCCCCAATAAAATGATTAAAAAAACACCAAAACAGAGAAAAATGAACCTTCGAAAGCCCTGTGGAAAACAGTTATACTCTGACATACATGAGTATGTCATAAGTAAAAATTCACTTGATTACAACTTGTTTTATATGCACTTAGTTCAGTTATTAAAAATGGGGGCAGGAGTGAAAATAGCGTTTGAAAAGTTGAACAGGATGTTTGATTGCCATTTAGTTATTGATTAATACTAAGTATTTTTAATCAAAATATTGGAGGAGAATAATAAGGGAAAGAAGACACCAGTGATTTGATATTATTTCTAGTGGAGACAAGTAGACTGTTTATTTTTTAAAAAGAAGGAGGAGATTTACATAGAAGTTTGGGATAAATATAACTATTAGGACATTATAAATTTTATATTAAAATAAATAGAAGGATTAACCCTGGAAAAGAAAAAAGTGTTACACAAAAGGGTTTCCAAAATGTATGAAAAAGTGAAACTAAAAGAAAATGTGATTTTTTTCCCCGTGAACTTTTGAAGCCCTTTGTTTTAAGAAGGATCTTTGTGGCATAGGGGGCTAGATTTTGAACTGCTAACTGCAAGGTCAGCAATTCAAATCCACCAGGGCTCCGATCAGAGGAGGAAAGATGAGCCTTTCTGCTCCTGCAAAGATTTACAGCCTCAGAGACCCAGAGGGTCTTTGACCTTGTAAGGCTGCTGTGAATTGGCAGTGGGTTTTTGAGTACAAATGTGGGGTGGGGTGGGTGGGGACAAAGGTGGAAAGGAGGAGAGTTCTCTGGATATATCTTGTTTTATAAATCTGATTTTAAATCACATGCATCTTTAATAATAAAACAAAATTAAGTTTAAAAAGGAAAATTCTAAAATTGATAGAGCAAATGAGCCTAGATTTTTTTCCAGTCACTGTAATTGGAAATTTCAAATGATTTTTGTTTTTAAATCCTTAGTAGGAAACAACTGCATGGGAAAAAACAATCTTTAACAGTTTCTAGATATCTTACTGGTTTTGGTACTCTTGGTATTATTACTTTGAGAATGTTATGTGGATAATGTAAAGATTAAGAGTACTTGTGCACTTAGTCCCATTATCCAATCCCCAGAATCAGAATTATTGGAATGGGAAAAGGAGATATTGATGTGATATAGGCAAGGTTAAGTAAAAGTCAGAGTCCTGTACTTGAATTGGAAGAGTATTTGAACTCTTTTAAAACCAAACAAAGTCCTAAAACAGAAAATCGAAGACTTCTTATTGAACAAATACTGAGGATAGACAAACCATAACACTTTACTAACTGAACGTTACCAGTCAAGAAAACTCAGATGGAAATGTATAGGACAAAGCACTTTGTTTCTTCAACAAATAGTTTATAAAGAAACTGTCTGTGGATTGTATTTAGAGCCCAAACAAATCAATGAGGTAAATGGAAATTTGAACATTGAATGGTATTTAATAATATTACAGAATTACTGGTAATTTTGAGAGTAGTGGTATATTTATGTTACAAGAGAGGTTTTTTTTTTTAATCTTAAAAAGTAGATAACCAAGAAGAATAGGCACGTAAATGGCACAAAAACAGAAAATAAATGGCCTGATGAGTTTGAAATAATAATGGGACATCCAAGTAAAAATGAAATTAAAAAGTAGATTTGTTGGGTGGCATGTGGGAGTGGGGAGCAGGATGAACAGGGCAGATAAGTTCATTTTAGAGCCTTTGAAATAAAGGTGATGTTGTCTAAGTGGATTGGAGACAGTAACTGGATTAATAGTGTCCTGGACTTATGGAAGGGGAGTTGGAGGGAAATGGGGACCTAATAATACAAGAAAGAAGAAAATGCCCTAAAATTGATTGTGGTCATGGTGGCATCACTCTCTTTAATATGTTTAAACTATTGAACTGTGTGATATGGAAATTATCTGTCAATAAAATTGTCAAAAGTAAAAAAAAGTCTAAGGAGAAAAATCTAGGGAAATCCAAAGATTTAGGAATCTGAAGGAGAAACAGCTGGTCAGTGGAGAAAGGGAAAGACTGACAAAGATTAGAATGGCATCAGGAAACCAAGGGAATAGTTTCAAAACAATGGGCTCAAATATTGTGGAGAAGTCAAAGGGGAAATGCAATTAAGGGCAACCACTCCTCTGTTTGGAAGTAGTTCAGATGTTACTGTCTGAGATAGTTTATTGTGCCAGCCTGGCTGATAAACACAAATGGGATTAATTGAAGGGCGGAGAGATAAATGGCTCAATGAGCCTAGCCTTTCTTGTCTCTTGCTCTTTGGTCAACGGACCAGTATGTGGCTGTCTTGCTTGTTCTGTGCCTCAATTTACAGGCTACACTACCTATGGGACGCCTAGCCTGTGGACTGTGTCGCTGTAAGTTGAGGTCCCTATAAGACCACATGATTGAAATTTACATTTCTGGAGCTGGGGACTGACAGTTGGTGACCTGCCTTGCTTTTTGCTACTATGCTGATATAGTCTAGCTCTCTACAGAGGAAGACCTGGCAGCCCTCAAGACTTGAAGGACTGCTAGTGTCTCACAACTCTCTCACGGGTGTGAGTTGCACTGAGCCATTTGTACTGCTTTATAATTTAACTTCATTTCTTGTATTATATATCTGTCTATCTGTATATAATTTAGCAGTTCATTTCTTGTGTTATATATCTAACTATCTTTATAAATAAATATATAAAATTATCAGCAATCTGATTTTATCTGTCTAGAGAACCCTGTCTAGTACACTGTCCTTCACTAGTGCACTAATATTGTTTGCTGCTCTGGCGTGCTTTTGGACTTGTGTTTGAAATGAGGCTAATAACAACATCTTTCAGGTTTTAAAGTGTTAGATGAGTCAGTATTTAGAAAGTCCTTAGAACAGTGTCTGACATATATGCTTCTGCTGCTGGTGATAAGCACCCACTCATGCATTGAAATCCATGTATTTAATAAGCATGCTATTTCTACACTCATTTCTGTTTGAGAATTAGATGTGATTCCAAAAAGGATTTAAATGTGTAGCTAGAGCCCTTTTCAGATTAAGTATATATATATATATTTTTTAGGAGTTCGATTTTATTATTGTAGGCTAGATTGGTGATAGAGTCTATATTACTTCAGCAGCTAGTTTTCAAGATGTATATTTTATGAGGTAGCGTAAAAAATGATAGAATATCAAACATCAAGCTTTTATGATTTTGTATAATACAGATTTTTTAAAAATTCTAAATTATGATTTTCATGAAAGTTTACAGTGTGAATTGGTTTTCCACTTAATAATTCATACGTATTTTGATTTGTGATGTTGATTGTAATCCCCATATGTAATAGCATTAATATCCCACTCCTCCTTATGTGTCCTATTGCCTTCATCTTTCTTTCTTGTTTCTTCCTGCTTCTGAGCTTTGTCCTTTGATTTCTTGTGGTTGGATGTGTTAAGGAAGGCATACCTCCATGGGTGGTATTGTTCACCTTAGAGACTTGTCGATGCTCTGGCTGAAAGCTGAACCTAGAGAGTGAATTCAGGTTCAGGCCTAAAAGGTGCTTGTGGTCTTATTTTTAGGATTTTGACAGTCTCTCTCAAACCAGTAAGCCTGGTCTCTTTTATGATTTTGAATTTTGTTTTACATCTTTGTCCCACTTTATCTAGGACAGCAGTTCTCAACCTGTGGGTCATGACCCCTTGGGGGCGGTTGTCGAACAACCCTTTCACAGGAGATGCCTGATTCATAACAGTAGCAAAATTACAGTTATGAAGTAGCAACGAAATAATTTTATGGTTGGTGGGGTCACCACAACATGAAGAACTGTATTAAAAAGGGTCGCGACATTAGGAAGGTTGAGAACCAATGATCTAGGACCTCCTATGGTGATCTTTTCAGAGAAGTCAGCAGTAGTAGCTTGGGACCATATAATTCATAAGGTCGCAGGGCGATGGTGGAGTTCAAGGGCTAGATTTGTCCTTTGAACTAATTGTTTCTTGTGTCTGATTTTCTTTACTCTTCTTTGCTCTATGTGAGGAGAGACCATTAGGTGTACCGTAGATGGCCACTCAAAGCTTTTAAGACCCCAGTGACTATTCACCAGACTAGGATGCAGAACTTTGACTCTGTGGACTATTAAGCTCATTGGCCTTGGTCTCCTGAGATTATGTTCCTGAGCCCCCAGCTCAGTGACTCATTTAAGGCAGTGTCATTTCCGTATGGCAGGACTTCTTAAAAAGTTTTTCTTTTTTTAGTTTTTTTCTACTTGTGGTGACTCCTTTGAACAAGGGCAAGTGCTCCCAGAAACACCTTGGAATCATATGCTTGTTTGATTTTGAATAAATTTGTGGTCATTATGCATTCAGAAACCTTCTACTATTGCCAATTTTTGTGACATCCAACCCCCTCAGTTATGGGACCCCATACAGTTGTGATCCACAGTTTTAAGAAGCTTTGCTGTAAGGTGTTAGTTATGGTTATGTTTTCATAACTTTGTCTCCTTTATGTGCTACTATATCCATGAACACATATGTATTACAGGTGAATACATATGTAGAAATATGCTCTGCCAAACCTATCTTTACAGTGGCTATAGTTTCATTCGCCTTCCCTTGTTCATCTTGAGTGTTTACGCATTCACGCATAGATTTTTATTGTTATTACTGTTATTTCAGAATTTTGTATGCAATCATCGTATTTGCATTTAACTCTGCAACTCCCAGTAAATCAGATAGGTTATGTCATGATTTATTTTGTCTCTTTTTCTCTTTTTGGAAATGTAGTGATTATAGTTATTGAAATTATTTTTAGAGATACTCCTTAAAGTTGTCCCTAGTAAATGATTGTTTTGAATATAGTTATATATGGTTATCCTTGAAAAGGTTTTCCATTAGAATCAAAGAAAAATTAGCGTTTTTTAAAAGACAAAAACTGATAATTGATTTATGGTATATACTTTAGACTTAAAAATATTAATCTAATTTATTTTTTAAAGACTTTAGGTAAAGTTGGGCGAGTACAACAGATTTATTCAGACAGTGATTTGAAGGTGGAAGTTTGTGGAACATCTTGGACATATAACCCAGCAGCAGTTTCCAAGGTAGCGTCCGCTGGATCAGCCATTAGCAATGCATCTGGTGGTATGTTTTTAATTTTTTTTTCTTTTAAAATAATATGGTTTACATTAGAACCTTTGCTCATTGCCAGATTTTTATACAGATAATATGTGTAATCGCTACTTTCACCCTGGTCACATAGCCTCATTTGAATGCTGTTCACCTTTTAAGCTTTCACTAAATTTCTGCCCTTGTATTCCCCACCCCCAGTATGATGAACAGTTCTTACTCTGGTTGAGGCATTCTCTGGAAAAGTTTCATAAATAGGTTTTTTTCTTGAGTATGTTAAGGCTTTTCCTATCACATCTGAGATACCTCAAAGTCAGCATTTGATTCTGCAGTCAGAACTTTAGTTTTCTGCCAAAAAAAACCTTATTGTTTTATTATTTCCAACGTTATTACTAGCAGATGGCTTTTTTTCTGATTATTTTTATAAATCAGCCACGTTTCTTTCTCATACCACATTGACTAGAGAATCATGTTGCATATGAATATGCTCAATGATTGGATATACTCATGCCCTCAGTTTGTCTTTCCTGTATTCCAGCTTTGTGTAGACACAGATTCAGTCTGTTCTACACAGATTACAGGTTCCTTTAATGGGCAGTGTTATCCAGAAGAGAAATCATAACTGTAGATGGTATTGCAAGGAAACATTGAGTGGCCTATTTATGTTCTCCTTTTTGCTACTTTGCTCTGTTTCTTCTTTTCTGTTATAATTTGCTAGTGTCCTTAAAACCAGATTGTGCTTATTTTTGCCTGAGTGTAGATGGCATCACAACTGGCTGGCTGCATACCAAGTAAGGAGTTGAGGGATGATTGCTAATTTATTCCAAAATAAGGTGGATTGGTGTCTTGCACTCTCCTTACTCTGTGATTTCTCTGCTATCCAATAAGTTGTTTTAGGAATTAAAGAGTAGAATCTGCTGGCTTTTCTGTTTTGAAAATATCTTAACAAAGCCCACATGGAAGAAGCACACCAGCCTGTGTGATCATGAAGTGTCGATGGGATTAGGTATCAGGCATCAAAGACCCAGAACAAAAAATTATATCAATGTGAATGAGGGGGAGTGGAAACCCAAAGCCCATCTGTAGACAATTGGACA